TTTTTTTATTTAGCATGTTGATAAAGGGGAAACGGAGGAACCAGGGAATGCAAAATATAGGCAGATTAAATATCAGCTTTGATATATAATACTTTCATTTCATTTATGATATAAAACCAGCAGCTATTTATAGATACAAAATTAGGTTAGGCACAGAGATTTAAGTGTGAACAAACTTCAGCTTTAGAGAGACAGTTGCTTTAAAGCGGATGCAGAGGCACATATTAAAATACAAGGCAACAAGGTCGTGGATTAAAACAGGTTGGGAAAACTTTCTTACATCACCTCTTCTTGCATTTTAATGGTGGTCACATGACATCTTCCTATGATAGGTCACTGTACTGCATAGGCTGTAGGTGGGATAGGAGGTGCAGCTCTGTGCCATGCGTTTGCAATGTCTCCACTACTTCTCAGGATGGACCTCTCAAGCAAGCAGTGGCAGGGGCTGGCAGTGTGTACACCCAGTAGAATCTTGCATGTCTCTGATTGAAGGCAGTGTGTTAGCCCTGAGCTATGAAGAAGGGGGCGCATCCCCCGTAACTTGTCAGGTTGCCAACGCAGTGTCACGGTGTGTTTGGCCACTCTATTCCCACACTGGATTGAGATTTAGTGCCATACAACTCCTGTATACATTTTTTTTCCAAGTATCCACTTGGTTGTATGTTTTGTGTTCTGCAGTACACCTTCAATAAGGCACCAGGCGTGTGGCCCTTCGGTGTGCTCTTTTTACAATCAATAGGGGCATGGGTAAGCAAGAATTTAAGAAAATTGTTTTACATAAATTTTAAGCAATGGAAAGCCCAGGTGTACTCAGCAGTACCAGCCAGTAGTTGGGGGGGGGCTGTTGAGCTGCGGGAAGGACAAAATGGGAACAATTCTGTTTTTCTTTTGTATGGAGTCACCAAAACTTTGGTGTACAAACTAGAACACAGAACAGCTAGTGGTGGTTAGTCACATCCAACTGGACTTTTCCTATAGTGTTGAAGATGTTTTGTAGCTTCTCCAAGCCACTTATTGCATTCCAATGCGTGGTAGGAAAATATCCCAGCAAGGTAACACAGAAACCTTGATCCAATACCATGCAATGTGTAGATGTTTATTCTCCAAGAAAAGGATGGGGGTGAAAGTTGTGGAATACCACTGTTCAGGTTTCATCTTTGGTGTCAGGAAGTATGCGTAGGTGTTGATGCCTCGATTTACATGGGAGAAGGTATGAATTGTTGTCAAATTGTTGGGGTTGAGATGTTAAAACATCATTATAAGTGGAAGACAGATGGTGTTGAAGGTCCCCACCTCTGTTTAGGGATGGTTGTTCCAAACTTTCATGCCTCTAGTGAGTTGTCCTTTCAATCAGTTGTCCTCTATCTCCAAAATGTGCACCTCACTGTCCACGAAAAGGTAGATGGCATCTTTCATGCCTCTTGTGAACTTGTTGTCTGCTCTGTCCAAACTGTGCACCTCACTGTCCTCAGAGATGTAGATGACATCTTTCACATCTCTTGTGAACCAGCAGGGGGATGTTAAAACATCCTTATAAGTGGAAGACAGAGGGGTTGAAGGTCCCCCTCCTCTGTTTAGGACTAGATGCCCACAGCATCCCACCCCCCCATTACATCAAATGAAAATAATCCCACATCCTCCCTAGCATCACCGTCAGGGCTGTGGATAAAAGGGTCCAACTGGTCCTCCGGTATGGGGCCCAGGCCAGCAGGGGGATGTTAAAACATCATTGTAAGTGGAAGACAGATGGTGTTGAAGGTCCCCACCTCTGTTTAGGGATGGTTGTTCCAATCTTTCATGCCTCTAGTGAGTTGTCCTTTTAATCAGTTGTCCTCTATCTCCAAAATGTGCACCTCACTGTCCTCGAAAAGGTAGATGGCATCTTTAATGCCTCTTGTGAACCAGTTGTCTGCTCTGTTCAAACTGTGCACCTCACTGTCCTCAGAGATGTAGATGACATCTTTCACATCTCTTGTGAACCAGCAGGGGGATGTTAAACATCATTATAAGTGGAAGACAGATGGTGTTGAAGGTCCCCACCTATGTTTAGGACTAGATGTTCAGAGCATCCCACCCCCCCATCACATCAGATGCCAAAAATCCCACACCCTCTCTAACATCACCATCAGGGCTGTGGATAAGAGGGTACCACTGGTTGGTCCTTCGGTACGGGGCCCAGGCCAGCAGGGGAATGTTAAAACATCATTATAAGTGGAAGACAGATGGTGTTGAAGGTCCCCACCTATGTTTAGGACTAGATGTTCAGAGCATCCCACCCCCCCATCACATCAGATGCCAAAAATCCCACACCCTCTCTAACATCACCATCAGGGCTGTGGATAAGAGGGTACCACTGGTTGGTCCTTCGGTACGGGGCCCAGGCCAGCAGGAAGACAGATAGTGTTGAAGGTCCACACCTCTGTTTAGGGATGGTTGTTCCAATCTTTCATGCCTCTAGTGAGTTGTCCTTTCAATCAGTTGTCCTCTATCTCCAAAATGTGCACCTCACTGTCCTCGAAAAGGTAGATGACATCTTTCATGCCTCTGGTGAGCCAGTTGTCTGTTCTGTCCAAACTGTGCACCTCACTGTCCTCAGAGACGTAGATGACATCTTTCACACCTCTTGTGAACCAGTTGTCCTCTCTGTCCAGATTCTGCACCTCACTCACTTCAAAGACGTACATGTCACTGCTCGTGAACTAATTGTCTTCTGTTTCCAAATTGTGCACCACACTGTCCCTGACAGAACTTCCATTTTCCTTAAGGTGTAGGAAGACCTCTGAGTGTTGACCTGTAGAATTTGCCCCCTGATGCTGGACCATTCACTTACTGAGAGGTTTCTACTCCCCAATGTGCAGGTATAGTATTTGCATTCCTCACTAGACTGCACTGCATATACCAAGTTACTTCATTTGTGTTTGGTGTTGGGTCCCAAGTACAAGCTTCTATCTCGGTGTATATTGCTGGGCTTGGAGGATAAAGGGATGTGATGTTTGTTAAAGATCCTTCTGAGGTTTTTTGACACTTCAGCTACATGTGGAGGTGACTATATAACTGTGTGTTAATTTTCCTCTCTGTTCAATGGTCCAATGTTTTGTTTTTGTTTTTTTTTGTCTGAGCATAGATCTGTTTGTCCCAAGCTCCCAAGCATGTATGAATCCACCCAGAGTTGACTGACTGGAAGTCTATTCCAAGCATCAACTACTCTTTTGATAAAATAATACTTTCTAAGATTAGCTTTGAACGTTCCTCCTGTAGTTTAAGGTCAGATCCCTGTGTTCTTGATTTTGGCTTCATATTGAAAATCCTGCCCTCCTGAAACATATTCACCCCCTTCATGTATTTAAAGGCTTCAGTCACGTTTCCCCTTTCCTTTCTTTCCTCCAGACTGGACATATAAAGTTCCTGAAGTCTCTCCTGATATATGTCACCATTTTTGTTTTTGTGAGTGAGGTCTCCAGAACTGGACACAGTATTTTAAATGAGGTCTTACTAAAGAGCTATATAGAGGAACAGGACCTCCTTCCTCCTGCTGGTGACCCCTCTTGTTATATAAAGATCTATATAGAGGAATCAGGACCTCCTTCCTCTACGCTGGGACCCCTCTAGTGATATATAGATCTATATAGAGGAATCAGGACCTTCTTCCTCCTGCCGGGACCCCTCTAGTGGGATATAAAAAGATCTATATAGAGGAATCAGGACCTCCTTCCTCCTGCCGGTGACCCCTCTAGTGATATAAAAGATCTATATAGAGGAATCAGGACCTCCTTCCTCCTGCTGGGACCCCTCTTACGATATAAAGATCTATATAGAGGAATCAGGACCTCCTTCCTACTGCTGGGACCCCTCTACTGATATATAGATCTGTTTAGAGGAATCAGGACCTCCTTCCTCCTGGGACCCCTCTAGTGATATAAAGATCTATATAGAGGAATCAGGACCTCCTTCCTCCTGCTGGTGACCCCTCTAGTGATATAAAGATCTATATAGAGGAATCAGGACCTCCTCCCTCCTGGGACCCCTCTAGTGACATAAAGATCTATATAGAGGAATCAGGACCTCCTTCCTCCTGCTGGGACCCCTCTACTGATATATAGATCTGTTTAGACGAATCAGGACCTCCTTCCTCCTGGGACCCCTCTAGTGATATAAAGATCTATATAGAGGAATCAGGACCTCCTTCCTCCTGCCGCTGACCCCTCTAGTGATATAAAGATCTATATAGAGGAATCAGGACCTCCTTCCTCCTGTCAGTGACCCCTCTAGTGATATAGATCTATATAGAGGAATCAGGATCTCCTTCCTCCCTGGACCCCCCTAGTGATATAAAGATCTATATAGAGAAATCATGACCTCCTGCCCCCTGCTGGTGATCCCTCTAGTGATATATAGATCTGTTTAGAGGAATCGGGGACCTCCTTCCTCCTGCTGGTGACCCCCATTGAACTCCTCTATTGTGCAATGCAGGTGATCACGTATCTGTCTGCTTTGTGATCCAATCCTGTCCCTTCCTGGGTCTTAAAAACTGATGAACCTACATTGGGGCCTCCTTTTTGGTGGTCATTCTTTAGGTTCTACACAGAAACAGGACGCACACAATTTACAAACAGCACCATTTTTTTTTCTACACAAAAACAAAAAATAATGACAACATTTATAAAATTTATTGACAGAGCCACATTTTTACTGACACGTTGCTGGCCATGTTCAATATTTAAGCTACAAACAAGATCTGGTGTGATTAGCAAAGTGTCCAAGGTATAAAAAAAATTAAAAATATTTCTCATTTTACATGAAGATCAGGTTCTGTGCAGATCTACTACAGGAGATGGTCAGAGACTGCAGACATACTAAAGGAGATGGTCAGAGACTGCAGACATACTACAGGAGATGGTCAGAGACTGCAGACATACTACAGGAGATGGTCAGAGACTGCAGACATACTACAGGAGATGGTCAGAGACTGCAGACATACTACAGGAGATGGTCAGAGACTGCAGACCTACTACAGGAGATGGTCAGAGACTGCAGAAATACTACAGGAGATGGTCAGAGACTGCAGACCTACTACAGGAGATGGTCAGAGACTGCAGACATTACTACAGGAGACTGCTGTCTGCAGTCTCTGACCATCTCATGTGGTAATGTCTGCAGTCTCTGACCATCTCATGTAGTAAATTGTCAGTAACCAAAAATTTATTAAATAAAAGAATGGTACTCACAAACAGCGAATAAAAACAGGCATGTCAGTCCTCAAAGGGACTTTAAAGGCAAGATGCAAATGCGAATCCCATCATGGAGGAAGCCACTCAGTACAGCTGACGCGTTTCGAAGGACAAGCCTTCTTCCTCAGAGCTGACTGGACTGAGAATATGTGTTCCCTTTTATGCCTCCAGACTGAAATAAGGCCCTCCCCAATAGGTTGGGCTGTCCTGGGCAGGGAGGAGGGGCCCGGGTGTCCACAGAATGCAATAAATAATCATCAAGAGTTCATAGAACCATATAGATAATAAACTTCAAAAGTCGGATGAAAATATATCAGATGTATACACATATATGGAATCAATTAATACAAATAAAATCATTCATAAATACAGCTTATAAATGCATAAATAAACAATAAAATAAAGAAATATAAACAAATAAATAAATATAAATAAAATTTCACTAATTCATCCCTTCATTAGAAATATATATATATTTCGCCATAATTATCATCATTGCACTAACGATCAAAAATGCATACAATGAGTATAGGATAAAAGAGGAACTCACACAACTGAATGAGCCATTCATGGCCAGTGATTTCAAAATTGTTCCCACAAAGTGGGCATTATAGCCAAAGTATTTTGCTAAAAATGACAGCTGGAAGAAAAAGCTATATTGCTATAAAAAATCTAGATGAAAAGAGAAGGTTTTTTGTGAACATGCATACATGCAATCCACCAGGGGATAACTCTTACAGATGGTGGGGAGGAGAACACAGTATATTCAGAAAAGATTCATATTACCTGTGTTTGTTATTGGTGGTGTGTGTTGTTTATTTGGCAGCAGAGGGAGATATTGCTTGCATGATGTGGTTGCAGATGGAATCTGCCTGTGAAACGCACGCCGATGCGGCGTGGTAGTTACTGCGCATGCGCGGACCAACCCGCGCATGCGCACTAGGACAGTAGCAGCGCGAACCCAATGGCTCGTATCCACTAGCCATTTGCGCGCGCACATAGGCAGCGCTGTCACATCGCCACAGGGTCCTAGTTCCTCCGACCCCCACTTACTGCTGCCCGATCTAAATACACACCAACAGGTCGGATGTGTATGTATGTGTGTCTCCAAGCTCAATGGATCGTTGGTACAGATGTCAACCCCCATAGCTGCAATCACACCATCAGAACTTCTATAAAGAGAGTATTTTTCTAAAACATATACATGTATGTATATGTATGTCTCTACACAATACAATACATGTGAAACATGCACCTTGATATGTGACAAATCATTGATTAATTCATATTTAAAAATGTGTAAAAATGTGAAATATATCTATAAAAAAAAAAAAAAAAAAAAAAAACACTACGCCACAGGATGTACCGACAACAGGACATAGGACCGTACCCATGGACATATCTACACAGAATATATATATACACACATATATGCCCACCAGACATATCCCTCACTAGCAAAAGGCTAGATGAGAGTATGTATTTCAAGATCATCATTAAGTCCTCCAGGGGACAGAGTACCCAAAGTAAAAATCCAGAAGCTCTCCCTTTTGGATAGCTCCTGATGTCTCCTCCCACTATCCAGGTCCTTAGTGATGGCCTCAATCCCGAACACTTTCATACCAAGATAGTTGCAAGAATGCTTCTCTTTGAAATGGGGGGACTGAGTACTTATCTTTCCCTAATTTGATGCTGCTCTTATGCTCACAGATTCTGATCCTAAGGCACCGTGAAGTGCGGCCCACGTAAATTAAGCCACATGGACAGAGTATGCCATAGATGACAAAAGAGGTACCGCAATTGATAAATTGTTTGATGGGGTACCTTTTTCCATTAGTACTCGTGAACTCTCGTTTCGATGGCATATAATCTCACAGGTGCCACAGTTTGGGATGCCACATCTATAGGTGCCCTTTTGGTCGAATAACATTGACCATGGGCCCGAGTTCACTATCGTGGTTTTCCGCACTCTGCTTGGTGCTATTTGACTCCTAAGGTCTCTCGGTTTTCTAAAGATGAGTGTGGGCTTATCAGGAAGTGCATTTCCAAGAGTGGGGTCATTCTTAAGGATGTTCCAGTCTCTAGATAAAATTTGTTTGATATGCCAAGACTTATTGGTAAATCTGGTACAAAAACGTGCTTCCTTATTGTTAAAAGTGACACTGGGTTTTTTAGAGTTAGAATCGGTTTCTGTAGGGACACTGGAGTCATACATCACTAGATATTTATTGCAGGCTGTCTCTATAAGACTTTCCTTATATCCTTTATCTTTAAATTTCTGTTTAAGGATAAGGCTCTGTTCAATATAGTCTTGTTTAAGCGTGCATGTGCGTTTCAGCCTGCAAAACTGTCCAAAAGGGACATTCTGGATCCATTGGGGGTGGTGGTTACTCTTAGCGTGTAGATAGGAGTTACCTGCTGTCGGTTTAAAATGCGTTTTTGAGCAAATCACACCATTACTCTCGTGTCTAAGTTCTAGATCCAGAAATACCAGTGTATCTTTATCAACCACATGAGTAAAAGAAATATTGTATGGGTTGTTTCTGCAGTGATTTAAAAAACCATCAAGTTCTAGATCGGTACCATCCCAGATAATAATGATATCGTCTATGTATCTTCCGTACAATACTAGATTTGCACTAAAAGGATTATTGCTCCAAATATACTTATTCTCCCAAAAGCCCATGAATATGTTTGCATAGCTGGGAGCAAAACGAGCTCCCATGGCAGTACCCTGAATCTGGCGGTAATGTTTGTCTAAAAAAGAAAAGTAATTATGATCCAGTGCAAATTGAATGGAATTATACAAAAATTGGATTTGGGTATAATGAAGTGATGGATCTTTTGCTTGCCAGGAAATGTTGAATGGCTTGAAGGCCAAAGTCATGTTGAATGGATGTGTAAAGAGACACTACGTCTAGGGATAGCCATCTATAACCCTGTTCCCATTTATATCCCGCTAGTATCTCCAGTATGTGGCTGGAGTCTCTGACGAATGATGAAAGACTCATGACTATGTCTTTTAAGAAGTGGTCGATATAGCTACCTAAATTACTTGTCATGCTGCCTATGCCAGAGATAATGGGGGTCTGCCGGGAGGGTTATCTTTATTTTTATGAATTTTTGGAATATGATAAAAAAATGGAGTGGCAGGATGTTTGATGTATAAAAAGAGGAATTCCTCTTTAGTGAGTACACCATCTGACAGTGCCATTTCCAGCAATAGTTTTAAATTTTGCTTGGTACTGGGCAGTGGGATCAATGGAGAGGACCTCATAGGTCTGACGATCATTCAGAAGTCTTAAGGCCTCGCCGATGTAGGTGGCTCTGTCTTGAATAAACCAGACCACCACCTTTATCAGCTTGTCTAATTAATTACATTTTTATTTTCTTTCATGGCTTTGAGGGGAGGCTTTAAGTGGGTCCTGTAGTAGATACTGTTTCTGTGTAGATGCACTAGTATTACAAATTTTCTTGAATTCTGCAAGAACTGATTCATAAAAAGTAGGTAAATGATGACCTTTGACCCAGTGGGGATAAAAAGTAGATTTAGGTTTGAAGCTGGTGTGCATGATTTCACCCTGAGACCCAAGTGCCATTTCAGTAAGGTTGAGATGCTCGGATGTATTGTCCATAGATGCACCCTCTGTATATAGATTTTCTAAGATGTCTAGCATAGGTGTTTCCAATGACATCTCCGTTAAGGAGGAATCTGGGGAGAGATGTAAATAGTTTTCCTTCTCACTAGGCGTGTTCACTTTTAACAGAAAGAACCGCTTAACTGTCAGGTTTCTAATAAATTTATTCAGATCTATAAAAAGATCAAACAGATTGGGTGGATTGGGAAGGGCAAAATTCAGACCTTTTTTCAGGAGTTCGAGTTCAGAATCCGAGAAGGTTGATTGTGATAAATTATAAATTTTAATAGTGGGGAGGGGAGCTTCTATAATTGTCTCCTTCCTCTTTTTGTGTCCAAAAGTCTCGGAGAGCTTCTGGATTATTTTTAACTTTGGGTACTCTGCAGCCCCCCCTGGAGGACTTAATGATGATCGGTTGAATGTGTATTACTCTTCAGTATCTAGTTGTCCTTTTTTTGCTACTGAGGGATATGTCTGGTGGGCATAGCAATGGTGTGTGTATATATATCAACCCTATAGTTGTGTAGATAGGGGTCTCCATGGGAATTACGAGTCCTATGTCCTGTTGCTGGTACAGATCTGTGGGGTGTTAGGATTTTTTTTTTTTTTTTTTTTTTATTAGAATGGTGATTTCACATTATTTTACACATGTAGGTTTTATGTTTAGTATGATGAATTAATCAATGACGCTGGGCATTAGAGAAATCACATATGAAGGTGCATGCTGGATTATTTATTCCCATGTACTTGTAGGTGTATTTGGACAATTCCCTTGAGTACTGGGTAATATACACATACATGTATATGTTTTAGAAAAATACTCTCTTTATAGAAGTTCTGATGGTGTGATTGCAGCTATGGGGGTTGACATCTGTACCAACGATCCATTGAGCTTGGAGACACACATACATACACATCCGACCTGTTGGTGTGTATTAGATCGGGCAGCAGTAAGTGGGGGTCGGAGGAACTAGGACCCTGTGGCGATGTGACAGCGCTGCCTATGTGCGCGCGCAATGGCTAGTGGATACGAGCCATTGGGTTCGCGCTGCTACTGTCCTAGTGCGCATGCGCGGGTTGGTCCGCGCATGCGCAGTAACTACCACGCCGCATCGGCGTGCGTTTCACAGGCAGATTCCATCTGCAACCACATCATGCAAGCAATATCTCCCTCTGCTGCCAAATAAACAACACACACCACCAATAACAAACACAGGTAATATGAATCTTTTCTGAATATACTGTGTTCTCCTCCCCACCATCTGTAAGAGTTATCCCCTGGTGGATTGCATGTATGCATGTTCACAAAAAACCTTCTCTTTTCATCTAGATTTTTATAGCAATATAGCTTTTTCTTCCAGCTGTCATTTTTAGCAAAATACTTTGGCTATAATGCCCACTTTGTGGGAACAATTTTGAAATCACTGGCCATGAATGGCTCATTCAGTTGTGTGAGTTCCTCTTTTATCCTATACTCATTGTATGCATTTTTGATCGTTAGTGCAATGATGATAATTATGGCGAAATATATATATATTTCTAATGAAGGGATGAATTAGTGAAATTTTATTTATATTTATTTATTTGTTTATATTTCTCTTTATTTTATTGTTTATTATGCATTTATAAGCTGTATTTATGAATGATTTTATTTGTATTAATTGATTCCATATATGTGTATACATCTGATATATTTTCATCCGACTTTTGAAGTTTATTATCTATATGGTTCTATGAACTCTTGATGATTATTTATTGCATTCTGTGGACACCCGGGCCCCTCCTCCCTGCCCAGGACAGCCCAACCTATTGGGGAGGGCCTTATTTCAGTCTGGAGGCATAAAAGGGAACACATATTCTCAGTCCAGTCAGCTCTGAGGAAGAAGGCTTGTCCTTCGAAACGCGTCAGCTGTACTGAGTGGCTTCCTCCATGATGGGATTCGCATTTGCATCTTGCCTTTAAAGTCCCTTTGAGGACTGACATGCCTGTTTTTATTCGCTGTTTGTGAGTACCATTCTTTTATTTAATAAATTTTGGTTACTGAGGTAATGCGCAAGGTTGGTGCGCTTCTTTTTTCTTTTTTGTTCTTCCTCACAGTTCTGTTTGGGCTTCCCCAGCCTTGGTGTGGAGCTGCACGACCTTAACTATTTCGGTGGTCCCCTCCTTGCTTTTTTGGAGTCTGATTCCATCTACTTACCACCAGTCTGGGTCCCGGAGCGCAGGAGATATCGCATTTGGTTCATCTCCTGTAGTATGTCTGCAGTCTCTGACCATCTCTCCTGTATAGTAATGTCTGCAGTCTCTGACCATCTCCCGTACTATGTCTGCAGTCTCTGACCATCTCCTGTAGTATGTCTGCAGTCTCTGACCATCTCATGTAGTAATGTCTGCAGTCTCTGATCATCTCCTGTAGTATGTCTGCAGTCTCTGACCATCTCCTGTAGTAATGTCTGCAGTCTCTAACCATCTCCTGTAGTATGTCTGCAGTCTCTGACCATCTCCTGTAGTAATATCTGCAGTCTCTGACCATCTCCTGTAGTAATGTCTGCAGTCTCTGACTATCTCCTGTAGTAGGTCTGCAGTCTCTTACCATCTCCTGTAGTATGTCTGCAGACTCTGACCATCTCCTGTAGTAATGTCTGCAGTCTCTGACTATCTCCTGTAGTAGGTCTTTAGTCTCTGACCATCTCCTGTAGTAAGTCTGCAGTCTCTGACCATCTCCTGTAGTAGGTCTGCAGTCTCTAACCATCTCCTGTAGTATATTACTACACAAGATGGTCAGAGACTGCAGACATGATACTAGAGATGGTCACAGACTGCAGACATGATACTAGAGATGGTCCCAGACTGCAGACATACTACAGGAGATGGTCAGAGACTGCAGATATAATACAGGAGTTGGACAGAGACTACAGACATTACTACAGGAGATGGTCAGAGACTGCGGACATACTACAGGAGATGGTCAGAGACTGCAGACATAGTACAGGAGTTGGTCAGAGACTGCAGATATTACTACAAGAGATGGTCAGAGAATGCAGACCTAATACAGGAGATGGTCACAGACTTCAGACATTACTACATGGGATGGTCAGAGACTGAAGACCTACTACATAGTAAATGGTCAGAGACTGCAGACATACTACAGGAGATGGTCAGAGACTGCAGACATACTACAGGAGAAGGTCAGAGACTGAATACCTACTACAGGAGATGGTCAGAGACTGCGGACATACTACAGGAGATGGTCAGAGACTGCAGACATACTACAGGAGATGGTCAGAGACTGCAGAACATTACTACAGGAGATGGTCAGGGACTGCAGACATACTACAGGAGATGTTCAGAGACTGCAGACATTACTAAAGGAGATGGTCAGAGACTGCAGACATTACTACAGATGGTCAGAGACTGCAGACATAGTACAGGAGATGGTCAAAGACTGCAGACATTATAAAGGAGATGGTCAGAGACTGCAGACATTACTACAGATGGTGGTCAGAGACTGAAGACATAGTACAGGAGATGGTCAGAGACTGCAGACAAAGTACAGGAGTTGGTCAGAGACTGCAGACATTACTACAGGAGATGGTCAGATACTGCAGACATTACTACAGATGGTCAGAGACTGCGGGGGGGGGGGGGGACATTACTACAGGAGATGGTCAGATACTGCAGACATTACTACAGGAGATGGTCAGAGACTGCAGACATTACTACAGGAGATGGTCAGAGAGTGCAGACATACTACAGGATATGGTCAGAGACTGAAGACATAGTACAGGAGATGGTTCAGAGACTGCAGACATAGTACAGGAGATGTTCACGGACTGTATACATTACTAAAGGAGCATGGTCAGAGACTGCAGACCTACTACAGGAGATGGTCAGAATGGGGTGGAAGATGGAGTAAGGAAGGTGCTGCGTGTGTGGAGCCAGGGAGGGTGTCCCAGTGGAGGGAGGGCTACCTACAGGCTGAAGTTGGACAGAAGGGCCCATCACTGTCACACAGTATACTAGGAGAGACAACCTTTCAGCAGGGAAGGATCCAGCCCAGTGCAAGGTCTGAAAGCAGCTGCAACCCATTTAGCTACAGGAGCAGGACATGTGTGAGTTACTTTCTACACACCCCTGGGCCAAAGAATCTCCCTTCTTGGGCAGTCAGGTGCAAGACCCAACTAGTTCTCGCTAGGACTACTTCATTGTAGATCTCGGAACCCTTGCTCAGGGACACCCTCAGAACAGCCGGTGGATGAGGAAATTTTCATCTGGGCTCTGAGGAGGATCACCAAAGGGGGCCCAGTGCTCCTTACAAGATTGCTGATTTCTTTTAGTCCATTTTTGCCGAAACGTTCATCCTCAAGTTGTACAGTTCCTTGGGCATCCCATGTAAATCAGTATAATACATTATATAAAGCCTATATAAAAGTCCACATGATCCAGTGGGTAATGGTTGGCTAAGTGAACCAAAAAACCAGAATGGGAGAGAGAATCTATCACCTTTCACCCAATCATTTGGCCTTCTTACCAGAAAATTTTGACCACCCGGAAGGACTGGTCAACCAACGCAGATATCAAGCCCAGCAGATGAATCCAATCTCCCAAGAAATCCGGACATTATAAGGACTTCCCGTCTAAACAATGAGGTCTAGAATGACAAATACTTCCACTCCATGTAGTAAACACCAGATAGGGAATTGCAGAGGTAAAAATCAGCAGCATGTTTGGTATAGTGTTTTTCAATGCCAGTGCAGTGCGCGGTGACGTCACGCGTCGTAGCTGCACCCTATGCGTTTTGTCACACAGAGGACAATATAAGGAATTTACCTCTAAACAATGAGGTCTAGAATGGCAAATACTTCTCCATGCAGTAAACACCACATAGTGAATCGCAGAGGTAAAAATCAGCATGTTTGTATAGTGCAGTGGTTCACAACCTTTCTAACGCCGCGACCCCTTAATACAGTTCCTCATGTTGTGGTGACCCCCCAACCATAAAATTATTTTTCGTTGCTACTTCATAACTGTAATTTTGCAGTAGGAGGAATAGTGCCACGTCATTGGTGTCAGTGGGAGGAATAGTGCCCATCATTGGTATCAGTGGGAGGAATAGTGCCCCGTCATTTGGTGTCAGTGGGAGGAATAGTGCCCCCTTCATTGGTGTCAGTGGGAGGAATAGTTGCCCCGTCATTGGTGTCAGTGGGAGGAATAGTGCCCCGTCATTGGTGTCAGTGGGAGGAATAGTGCCCCGTCTCATTGGTGTCAGTGGGAGGAATAGTGCCCCGTCATTGGTGTCAGTGGGAGGAATAGAGCCCCATCATTGGTGTCAGTGGGAGGAATAGTGCCCCATCATTGGTGTCAGTGGGAGGAATAGTGTCCCATCATCGGTGTCAGTGGGAGGAATAGTGCCCCATCATTGGTGTCAGTGGGAGGAATAGTGTCCCATCATTGGTGTCAGTGGGAGGAATAGTGCTCCATCATTGGTATCAGTGGGAGGAATAGTGCCCCATCACTGGTGTCAGTGGGAGGAATAGTGCCCCATCATTGGTGTCAGTGGGAGGAATAGTGCCCCATCATTGGTATCAGTGGGAGGAATAGTGTCCCATCATTGGTATCAGTGGGAGGAATAGTGCCCCATCATTGGTATCAGTGGGAGGAATAGTGCCTCATCATTGGTGTCAGTAGGAGGAATAGTGCCCCTCATCATTGGTGTCAGTGGAAGGAATAGTGCTCCATCATTGGTATCAGTGGGAGGAATAGTGCCCCATCATTGGTGTCAGTGGGAGGAATAGTGCCCCATCATAGGTGTCAGTGGGAGGAGGAATAGTGTCCCATCATCGGTATCAGTGGGAGGAATAGTGCCCCATCATTGGTATCAGTGGGAGGAATAGTGCCCCATCCATTGGTGTCAGTGGGAGGAGGAATAGTGCCCCATCATTGGTGTCAGTGGGGGGAGGAATAGTGCCCCGTCATTGGTGTCAGTGGGAGGAATAGTGCCCCGTCATTGGTGTCAGTGGGAGGAGGAATAGTGTCCCATCATCGGTGTCAGTGGGAGGAATAGTGCCCCATCATTGGTGTCAGTGGGAGGAATAGTGCCCCATCATTGGTGTCAGTGGGAGGAATAGTGCCCATCATTGGTATCAGTGGGAGGAATAGTGCCCCATCACTGGTGTCAGTGGGAGGAATAGTGCCCCATCATTGGTGTCAGTGGGAGGAATAGTGCCCCATCATTGGTATCAGTGGGAGGAATAGTGCCTCATCATTGGTGTCAGTGGGAGGAATAGTGCCCCATCATTGGTATCAGTGGGAGGAATAGTGTCCCATCATTGGTATCAGTGGGAGGAATAGTGCCCCATCATTGGTATCAGTGTGGGAGGGAATAGTGCCTCATCATTGGTGTCAGTGGAGGAGGAATAGTGCCTCATCATTGGTGTCAGTGGAAGGAATAGTGCCCCATTGGTATCAGTGGGAGGAATAGTGCCCCATCATTGGTGTCAGTGGGAGGAATAGTGCCCCATCATAGGTGTCAGTGGGAGGAGGAATAGTGCCCCATCATCGGTATCAATGGGGGAGGAATAGTGCCCCATCATTGGTATCAGTGGGAGGAATAGTGCCCCATCATAGGTGTCAGTGGGAGGAGGAAATAGTGCCCCATCATTGGTGTCAGTGGGGGGAGGAATAGTGCCCCATCATAGGTGTCAGTGGGGGGAGGAATAGTGCCCCATCATTGGTGTCAGTGGGGGGAGGAATAGTGCCCCATCATTGGTGTCAGTGGGGGGAGGAATAGTGCCCCATCATTGGTATCAGTGGGGGGAGGAATAGTGCCCCATCATAGGTGTCAGTGGGGGGAGGAATAGTGCCCCATCCTTGGTGTCAGTGGGGGGAGGAATAGTGCCCCATCCTTGGTGTCAGTGGGGGGGAGGAATAGTGCCCCATCCTTGGTGTCAGTGGGGAGAGGAATAGTGCCCCATCCTTGGTGTCAGTGGGGGGGGAGGAATAGTGCCCCATCCTTGGTGTCAGTGGGGGAGGAGAATAGTGCCCCATCCTTGGTGTCAGTGGGGGGAGGAATACTGCCCCATCCTTGGTGTCAGTGGGGGGAGGAATACTGCCCCATCATTGGTGTCAGTGGGGGGAGGAATTGTGCCCCATCCTTGGTGTCAGTGGGGGGAGGAATTGTGCCCCATCCTTGGTGTCAGTGGGGGGAGGAATCGTGCCCCATCCTTGGTGTCAGTAGGGGAGGAATAGTGCCCCATCGTTGGTGTCATTTGGGGGAGGAATAGTGCCCCATCGTTGGTGTCAGTGGGAGGAATAGTGTCCCATCGTTGGTGTCAGTGGGAGGAATAGTGCCCCATTATTGGTATTAGTGACACCAATGATGGGGCACTATTCCCACTGACACCAATGATACTTACCTTGCAGACCCCTGCTCCAGCCTGGGCTCGCTCGCTCTCTCCCTCTCCCATGGTACCGACACTTACCTGTCAGCTGTCTTCCTTCTCCGGCCGCTCTCCTCCTCTTCACTCGCTCGATCTTCGCGGTGCCGCTCGGGCTCCTCCTCTCCAAGCTCCACCTCCTTGCCAGTGATTGGTCTCCTGAGCTACAGTGCCGGCGGCCAATCACAGGCGAGGATTGATCTCGAGGTGTGTCCAGATGACAGGGGCGGCATGTCATCCCGCCCACACCTGGAGACGGCGGTGGCGGCGGCGGCGAGGAGCGTTGTCTCGGTTCCTAAGACCATCGGAAATATGTGTTTTCCGATGGTCTTAGGCGACCCCTGTGGAAGCGTCGTTCGACCCCCAAAGGGGTCGTGACCCCCAGGTTGAGAACCGCTGGTATAGTGTTTCCAATATTGTGGTGGTGCGCGGTGACGTCCTTTGTCGTAGCTCCACCCTACGCATTTCATCACATAGAGGATGATATAAGGACTTCCCTCTAAACAATGAGGTCTAGAATGGCAAATACTTCTCCACGCAGTAAACACCACATAGGGAAAAGCAGAGGTAAAAATCAGCATGTTTGTATAGTGTTTCCAACCAACAAGATGGCCGGGCCATGGCGGTGCGCGGTGATGTCACACGTCGTAGCTCCATCCTACGCGTTTCGTCCCACAGAGGACGTCCTTGTTGGTTGGAAACCCAATACAAACATGATGATTTTTACCTCTGCGATTGTAAATGCATTACTTGAATAAATAGCATCTTTTATTTAACTACTACACTATGAGTGGGTATACTTTTTCCCTATGTGGTGTTTACTGTGTGGAGAAGTATTTGCCATCCCAGACCTCATTGTTAAAGGTCTACTTCTCCACACAATAAACACCACATAGGGAATCGCAAAGGTAAAAATCAGCATGCTTGTATAGTAGATGAATCCAATCTCCCAAGAAATACGAACGATATAATGACTTCTCTCTAAACAATGAGGTCTAGAATGGCAAATACTTCTCCACGCAGTAAAACACCACATAGGGAATCGCAAAGGTAAAAATCAGCATGTTTGTATAGTGTTTCCAACACCGTAGCGGTGCGCGGGGACGTCACATGTCGTAGCTCCACCCTACGTGTTTCGTCACACAGAGGACAATATAAGGATTTCCCTCTAAACAATGAGGTCTAGAATGGCAAATACTTCTCCACACAGTAAACACCACTTAGGGAATCGCAGAGGTAAAAATCATCATGTTTGTATAGTATTTCCAACCAACAAGATGGCCGGGCCATGGCGGTCACGCATTGTAGCTCCACTCCATGCTTACTTTTTCCCTATGGGGTGTTTACTGTGTGGAAAAGTATTTGCCATCCTAGACCTCATTATTTAGAGGTCTTCTTCTCCACACAGTATACACCGCTGGTCTGTGGCGGTGAGCGGTGACATCACACATCGTAGCTCCACCCTATGCATTTGGTCAAACAGAGGACGTCCTTATTGGCTGGAAACACGATAAAACATACTGATTTTTACCTCTGCGATTGTAAGTGCATTACTTGAATAAATTTCATCTTTTATTTAACTACTACAGTACGAGTGGGTATACTTTTTCCCTATGGGGTGTCTACTGTGTGGAGAAGTATTTGCCATCCCAGACCTCATTGTTTAGGGTCTACTTCTCCACACAGTAAACACCACATAGGGAATCGCAGAGGTAAAAATCAGCATGTTTGTATAGTGTTTCCAACCAACAAAATGGCCTGTCCGTGGCAGTGCACGGTGACGTCACGCATCGTAGCTCCACCCTACGCATTTTGTCACACAGAGGACGTCCTTGTTGGTTGGAAACACAATACAAACATGCGATTGTAAGTGCATTACTTGAATAAATTGAATCTTTTATTAACTACTACACTATGAGTGGGTATACTTTTTCCCTATGGGGTGTCTACTGTGTGGAGAAGTATTTGCCATCCCAGACCTCATTGTTTAGGGTCTACTTCTCCACACAGTAAACACCGCTTAGGGAATCGCAGAGGTAAGTCCTTAGATCGTCCGAATTTCTTTATTTTTAGTTTGTTTATTTTCACCTATTTTGTGTTAGCTGCTATTTTTATTTGTAAAATTCCCAAGCGCAGGTCTTCTGTATAATGATTGTGTTGAAAATACTGCTCTCCTGAACCTTATGAAAATGCGTGTTGCCTGGCTGCGCAGAGCTTAGGGGGGACCCGAAAAACTCAGCTGGCCCTACGTGTAAATTTACGGACTGAACAGGTCCCATTCTGTCCTGGATCTCCGCCTCGCTGGTTTCAATATTTCATTTACATCTTACAATTAGTACCTCCGTGCTCAGATCTGCGGATGTAATCTGTTTAGAAATGATCTGGTTAATCCAGAGTGAATCTATTATTCATAGATCCCCAGAGAGGAGTGAATCTATTATTTATGGATCCCCGGAGAGGTCTCATAGATGTGACATTGAGGACGGGCTGGGCTTGTTCTGTGACGTCCGCTGAAAGTCACAGATTTCACAGGGACAGATCAGAGAGCGAGGTGACTCCGTGGGGAACCTTCATACTGATCCATCCTGGGGGGGGGGGGGGTGCAGGAAGGATGATGTGGGATATATGTCATGAAGGAAATCAGGGCGCGGTCTTTACAGGAACGTTCTGCGAAAAATCAAAAAGTAAAACCAAACTCGACAATTATTTAGCTGTGTATTTGCTACAAAAAAAAAACAACACAGCAGAAGTCTGACACCACCAATCAAACTCGGCTGTACACATGTGGCTCAGAATTCGGATGAAATGTATTATTTGGAAATTCGGATGTATCCAAATGTCTAAATCACAATAGTAATGAATTTAAACGGATCCAAAATGACAAAACAAAATTTTGTCCAAAATGTTAATCGAATTTGAAAAATAAATTTTTTGCTGAATATTGCTGATTTCCTTCAAAGACTGTGTATTAGTGTTAGAACATAGCCGAATTTCAAAAAGAATGGGATAGAATAAAAATAAAAATGAATAGAATAGAACAGAAAAGAAAGGAAAGGTAAAGAATACAATTAAAAAAGAAATATAGAATAGATTCAAATAGAATAGAATAGAATAGAATAGAATAGCATAACGTAAAATAGAAAGAATATTGCCGTCTTTCGAAATTCGAATTTCAAAAAGAATAGGATAGAATAAAACAGAATTAAATAGAGTAGAAAAGAAAGGTAAAGAATAGAATTAAAAAAGAAATATGGAATAGATTCAAATAGAATAGAATAGAATAAAGTAAAACAGAAAGAATATTGCCATCTTTTAAAATTCGAATTTCAAAAAGAATAGGATAGAATAAAACAGAATTGAATGGAACAGAAAAGAATAGAAGAGAAAAGAAAGGTAAAGAATACAATTAAAAAAGAAATATAGAATAGATTCAAATAGAATAGAATAAAGTAAAATAGAAAGAATATTGCCGTCTTCCGAAATTCAAATTTCAAAAAGAATAAATAGAATAGAAAAAATAGAATAGAAAATAAAATAAAATAAAGGAATCGAATAGAAAAGGATAGAATAAAATGAAAAATAGAATAGATTTGAATAGAATAGAGCAAAATAGAAAAAAATATAGCTATCTTCCGGAATTCAAAATTAAACAAACAGAATAGGATAGAAATAAAACAGAATTGAATAGAATAGAAAAGAAAGGTAAAGAATACAATTAAAAAAGAAATATAGAATAGATTTAAATAGAACAGAATAGAAAAAAAAACGGAAAAATAGAAAGAATATTGCTATCTTCCGAAATTCAAATAAAAAAAAAAAAAATAGGATAGAAGAAAAAAACAATAGAATAGAATAGAATGGAATAGAAAATAATAGAAAATAAAATAAAGGAATAGAAGAGAAAAGAATGGAGTAAAATAGAAAGAATATAGCTGTCTTCCGAAATTCAAATTTAGAAAAGAATAGGATAAAACAGAATAGATTAGAAAAAAATAGTGAAAAACAGAATAGAATAGAATAGAAAAAATAGAATAACATAGAATAAAAAATAATAGAATAGAGCAGTGGTTTCCAAAACTGGAAGCCCTTTGCTTGCTTTTATCCGGCCCTTGGGGCACTGATCTATCCACTGATACCACCAACGCAGCATAATTTCCGTCACTGACACAATGGAGGAGTACAAATCCTCCCATTGACACCAACGATGGGCTGCCATTGCTCCCACTGACACAGAAAAGGGGCAAGGTTTATTCCCACTGACGTCAGGACCTTTTCTGCTCCCAGTGGTCACAGTCCGGCCCCCCTAAAGTCTGAAGTACAGCAAAACTGGCCCTTTGGAAAGTTTGGAGACCCCGGAATAAAAAAAAAACATAACAGAATAGGATATAATATAGAAAAAAAACAGAATAGAAAATAAAGGAATAGAAAAGAACAGAATAGAAAAAGTAGAATAGAAGAGAAAGAGTATAGCTGTCGACTGAAAGTCAAACTTGGAGAATAATAGACTAGAATAAAACAGAATAGACCAGAACAGAAAAGAATAGAGTAGAACAGAACAAAAAAATAAAAGAATAGAATAAAATAGAATAAAAAAATAATAAAATAGAAAAAATAGAATAGAATACAATAGAAAGAATATAGCTGTCTTCTAAAAGTCAAATTTAAAAGGAATAAAGAAAGAATAACACAGAATAGACCAGAACAGAAAAAGAATAGAGTAAAACAGAACAGAAAATAAAAATAGAATACAATGGAATAGAAACTAAAGGAATAGAAAATAATAGAATAGACAAAATAGAATAGAATACAATAGAAAGAATGTAGCTGTCTTCTGAAATTTGAATTTGGAAAAAGAATAGAATAGAATAAAACAGAAAACACCAGAAAAGAAAAGAATAGAGCAAAAAAAAGAACAGAAAATAGAAAAACAGAATAAAATAGAATAGAAAACAAAGGAATAGAAAAGAACAGAATAAAAAAAAATAGAATAGAATACAATAGAAAGAATATAGCTGTCTGCTGAATGTCGAATTTGGAAAAGAATAGAATAGAATAAAACAGAATAGACTAGAACAGAAAAAAAAGAATAGAGTAAAGCAGAACAGAAAATAAAGGAATAGAATAGAAAAAAATAGAATAGAAAAGAAGGAATATAGCTGTCTTCTGAAAGTCAAATGGAAAAGAATAGAATAGAATAAAACAGAATAGACTAGAGCAAAAAAAGAATAGAGTAAAACAGAACAGAAAATAAAAGAATACAATCAAATAGAATATAAAATAAAGGAATAGAATATAAAATAATACAATAGAAAAAATAGAATAGAATACAATAGAAAAAATGTGGCTGTCTTCTAAAAGTCAAATTTAAAAAAAGAATAGAATAGAATAAAACAGAATAGACTAGAACAGAAAAGAATGGAACAGAACAGAAAATAAAAGAACAGAAAAAATAGAATAGAAAGAATATAGCTGTCTTCTGAAAGTAGAATTTGGAAACTAATAGAATAGAATACAACAGAATAGACTAGAACAGAAAAGAATGGAGTAAAACAGAACAGAAAATAAAAATAGACTAAAAAAAAATTGAAAATAAAGGAATAGAACAGAAAATGACCAGCAGTGACCAGTATAGATCCCAGTATCCCAGCAGTGACCAGTATAGATCTCAGGGTCCCCAGCAGTGGCCAGTATAGATCCCAGTATCCCCAGCAGTGACCAGTATAGATCTCAGGGTCCCCAGCAGTAACCAGTATAGATCCCAGTATCCCCAGCAGAGACCAGTATAGATCCTAGTATCCCCAGCAGTGACCAGTATAGATCCCAGTATCCCCAGCAGTGACCAGTATAGATCTCCGTGTCCCCAGCAGTGACCAGTATAGATCCCAGTGTCCCCAGCAGTGACCAGTATAGATCCCAGTGTCCCCAGCAGTGACCAGTATAGATCCCAGTATCCCCAGCAGTGACCAGTATAGATCCCAGTATCCCCAGCAGTGACCAGTATAGATCCCAGTATCCCCAGCAGTGACCAGTATAGATCTCAGTGTCCCCAGCAGTGACCAGTATGGATCCCAGTATCCCCAGCAGTGACCAGTATAGATCTTAGTATCCCCAGCAGTGACCAGTATAGATCTCAGTATCCCCAGCAGTGACCAGTATAGATCCCAGTATCCCCAGCGGAGACCAGTATAGATCCCAGTATCCCCAGCAGTGACCAGTATAGATCCCAGTATCCCCAGCAGAGACCAGTATAGATCTCAGTGTCCCCAGCAGTGACCAGTATAGATCCCTGTATCCCCAGCAGTGATTAGTATAGATCCCTGTATCCCCAGCAGTGACCAGTATAGATCCCAGTATCCCCAGCAGTTACCAGTATAGATCTCAGGGTCCCCAGCAGTGACCAGCATAGATCACAGTATCCCCCAGCAGTGACCAGTATAGATCTCAGTATCCCCAGCAGTGACCAGTATAGATCCCAGTATCCCCAGCACTGACCAGTATAGATCTCAGTGTCCCCAGCAGTAACCAGTATGGATCCCAGTATCCCCAGCAGTGACCAGTATAGATCCCAGTGTCCCCAGCAGTGACCAGTATAGATCCCAGTGTCCCCAGCAGTGACCAGTATAGATCCCAGTATCCCCAGCAGTGACCAGTATAGATCCCAGTGTCCCCAGCAGTAACCAGTATGGATCCCAGTATCCCCAGCAGTGACCAGTATAGATCCCAGTGTCCCCAGCAGTGACCAGTATAGATCTCAGTGTCCCCAGCAGTGACCAATATAGATCTCAGTGTCCCCCAGCAGTGACCAGTATAGATCCCAGTGTCCCCAGCAGTGACCAGTATAGATCCCAGTATCCCCAGCAGTGACCAGTATAGATCTCAGTGTCCCCAGCAGTGGCCCAGAGTCTCTATCTGGCTGCTTTGCAGACAGAGTTGCAGTTGGCATTGGTAGCCCCATTGTGGTTGTCTCCACACAGCCTGGACTCCTTCCCGGCCCACCCCCCCCTGACCTAGCGGGACAGCAGCTCAGTGGCACAGCGGCACAGGAGGAACCTCCTGGCAACTTTCCTTTTTCAATGGCTGAGCCAGCAAAAGCCCCTGGCAACCTGGAGACCAGATTCAAAAGCCAGAGTCTCGGGGCCAGGTCCGGACATTTCCCATCTACAACGTGGTCACCACCAGGTGAAGAGGAAGAGAATCCTACACACATCACATGACCAGCGTGAAGACATCTGGAAGTATGACATATTATTGTCGGGGACCTTCAGGGAGGCACCAATCTGGGGGGGGGGGGATCCAGGAGTCCGGAGTTGAGCCTTAATGAACCACCAGGGCAGAGTATACCGGAAAACTATAAATAAATGTACGGAAAACCTAATTTCGGATCATTTCTGGTCATGTGAACCCTTGGAGGGCTTCCAGAGACGATAACGGGAGGACATCTGTTCTGCCTCAATGTCTACTCAGGCGGCTCCACCTCTCCATCATGCGGAGAATATTACATGGCGGCCTGTGATGTCCTAATTACTGTACATACAGATTACTGTTCCTCCATAATTACGATCGATGATGACAAGCAATGCCTGGAGTCATCTGCTTCACAGTGCTGCATGAGGAAAGTGATCCACACTCTATGTAAGTATATACAGTGGATATAAAAAGTCTTCACACCCCTGTAAAAATGTCAGGTTTCTGAGATATAAAAAAAAAAAAAAACAAAGATAAATCATTTCAGAACTTTTTCCACCTTTAATGTGACCTATAAACTGTAAAACTCAATTGAAAAAAAAACTGAAATCTTTTAGGGTGGAAAGTAAAACTTAAAAAAAAGTGGTTGCATAAGTGTGCACACCCTCTTATAACTGGGGATGTAGCTGTGTTCAGAATTAAGCGATCACATTCAAAATCATATGAAATAGGAGTCATGTACACGCCTGCCATCATTTAAAGTGCCCCAAATAAAGTTCGGCTGTTCTAGTTGGTCTTTCCTGACATTTTCTTAGTCACATCCTACAGCAAAAGCCATGGTCCGCAGAGAGCTTCCAAAGCATCAGAGGGATCTCATTGTTGAAAGGTGTCAGTCAGGAGAAGGGTACAGAAGAATTTCCAAGGCGTTAGATATACCATGGAACACAGTGAAGACAGTCATCATCAAGTGGAGAAAATATGGCGCAACAGTGACACCACCAACAGTGACACCACCACCAACAGTGACACCATCAACAGTGACATCACCAACAGTGACACCACTAACAGTGACCTCACCAACAGTGACATCATCAACAGTGACATCACCAAGAACGGGACGTCCCTCCAAAATGGATGAAAAGACGAGAAGAAAACTGGTCTGAGAGGCGGCCAAGAGCCCTACAGCAACATGAAAGGAGCTGCAGGAATATCTGGCAAGTCCTGGCTGTGTGGTACAGGTGACAACAATCTCCCGTGTTCTTCATATGTCTGGGCTATGGGGGGGAGTGACAAGACGGAAGCCTTTTCTTACGAAGAAAACCATCCAAGCCCGGCTACATTTTGCAAAAGCACACCTGAAGTCTCCAAAAAGCATGTGGGAAAATGTGTTCTGGTCTGATGAAACCAAGGTTGAATTTTTTGGCCATAATTCTAAAAGATATATTTGGCGCAAAAACAACACTGCACATCACCAAAATAACACCATACCCACCGTGAAGCATGGTGGTGGCAGCAACATGCTTTGCGGCCGTTTTCTTTCAGCTGGAACTGGGGCGTTAGTCAAGGTAGAGGGAACTATGAACAGTTCCAAATACCGGTCAATATCGGCACAAAACCTTCAGGCTTCTGCTAGATAGGTTGGCCCCTAGGCATGCAGACTGCTTCTACGAACATTGGTGAAAGAATGGGTCGCTCTCAGGAGCTCAGTGACTCCAAGAGTGGTCCCGTGATAGGTTGTCACCTGTGCAATAAGTCCATCCGTGACATTTCCTGGCTACTAAATATTCCACGCTCAACTGTTAGTGGGATTATAACAAAATGGAAGCCACTGGGAACAACAACAACTCATCCACCAAGTGGTAGGCCACGTCACATGACAGGGCGGGGTCAGCGCATGATGAAGCACACAGTGAGCAGAAGTCACCAACTGTCTGCAGAGTCAATAGCTAAAGACCTCCAAACTTGGTGTGGCCTTCAGATGAGCCCAACAACATGCATAGAGAGCTTCATGGAATGGTTTTCCATAGCCGAGCAGCTGCATCCAATCCTTACATCACCAAGTGCAATGCAAAGTGCAAATCATCGGATGCCGTAGTGTAAAGCACGCCGCCACTGGACTCTAGAGCAATGGAGACGTGTTCTCTTGAGTGACCAATCACGCTTCTCTCTCTGGCAATCCGATGGACTAGTCTGGGTTTGGCGGTGGCCAGGAGAACAGTACTTGCCTGACTGCATTGTGCCAAGTGTAAAGTTTGGTGGAGGGGGGGTTATGGTGTGGGGGTGTTTCTCAGGGGCTGGGCTTGGCCCCCTAGTTCCAGTGAAGGAAACTCTTAAGGCGACACTTTGGACAATTTCATGCTCCCAACTTTGTGGGAAGAGTTTGGGGATGGCCCCTTCCTGTTCCAACATGACTGCACACCAGTGTACAAAGCAAGGTCCATAAAGACATGGAGGAGCCAGTTTGGGGTGGAGGAACTTGACTGGCCTGCACAGAGTCCTGACCTCAACCCCATAGAACACCTTTGGGATGAATTAGAGCGGAGACTGCGAGCCAGGCCTCCTCCCCCGACATCAGTGCCTGACCTGACAAATGTGCTTCTGGAAGAATGGTCCAACCTTCCCATAGACACCCTCCTAAACCTTGTGGACGGCCTTCCCAGAAGAGTTGAAGCTGTTATAGTTGAAAAGGGCGGGGCCAACTCAATATTGAAACCATACGGACTAAAAGATGTGTGTGGGAAGGGGGGGGCCATTAAACTGGGGGGTCATGTGTGTGGGAAGTTTGGGGCCAACTCAATATTGAACCCTACGGACTAACACTGGGGGGTTATTAAAGGTCATGTGCGTGGAAAGGGCTGGGCCAACTCAATATTGAACCCTACGGACTAAGACTGGGGGGTTATTAAAGGTCATGTGCGTGGGAAAGGGTGGGGCCAACTCAATATTGAACCCTACGGACTAAGGCTGGCCATACATTATACAATTTTCTTCAGAATTTTGCTTTAGATTCACGAAAAATCATATAATATGAGGTCAAACCCAAACAACACTTTCAGTTGTATCCGATTAGGCGGGGCCTTGTCCTAATTAGTTGAAAGTAAATCTAAAGGAAGGAAATTGAACAGAAAATTGTATAATGTTGAAGGGCCCTTAAGCGGCATGGGGCCCATGGAGCCTATTTGGTTTGCTGCCACTGCACAGAGGGAATTTGCTGTGGTCTGTGAGGGATGTACTGCAGCTGGGCTGGTGAAGTCGGAGGAGGACTATCATCAACTTAAACTGTGCCTGGGAGCCAATCAGCTTCTGACTTCAGCTTGTTTAGTTAGGCTTTGACAATAAAACCTGGAAGCTGATTGGTTCCTAGGCAGAGCTGCACTGGTCCTTGAACCCTCCAGTTGCAGTAGATCGCCCCCTACCCCCCCCCCCCCCCCGTGTGCTCACTCCCCACCGATGGGGCAATCCTCCAATTATAAGTGACCGACACAAGAATTCGGGGGAAGGACCACTGAGGACTATTGAAGGGAAAGCCAATATTGAGGATTGTGGAGCGTCTTGCCGGTGGTCCTTCCCATCAATGCCTGCAAAGCCGGAGGTGGTGGTGGTGTCAGCTGATTGAAGGTCATGTGACCCATCTGACTGTCTTGTCTCTGATTGGTGCAGATTGGCAGTTGGTATAGGGGGTAGGTAGGTGGGCTGGCTGGTGTACACTCTTTATTCAGCTCTGCAAACACCAAATGACTAATAGGAACGTAATACAAACTGGTCTGCCCAGGATATGAAGGATGGTTTAGAGGGATAAGGATGACAGATAGGGATGGCAGATAGGGATGATGGATAAGGATGATGGATAGGGATGATGGATAAGGATGATGGATAAGGGACATATAATGATGATGGATAAGATGGATAGGGATGATGGATAAGGATGATGGATAGGGATGATGGATAAGGATGATGGATAGGGATGATGGATAGGGATGATGGATAGGGATGATGGATAGGGATGATGGATAGG